CATAGGCGTAATGGCTTTTAAACGGCACAGACTGTATGTACCCATTACAGAAAACATTCTGCTGTTTTAGACTTTCAAAAAATATTAGGCTATTCTGTATGATTTATAAGCTTGTTTCCTCATGGGGACCAACAAATGTCCCCAGAGCCAAAATGTATAATTATTACTATACTATGTGGTCGTCATAACGTATAGGGAATACCAGGACCACACACATATAAACACATGCAACATTACTGGGTGAAATGGCCCAATGGTTTTCCCTCTTTGCCTATATTTAGCTAACGTTGTTATAGAAAGTTCCTCCATGAAGTGATGCCATTGCTCACTGTTGTTTGAAACATCCATATGAATAACATTCCCGTCTACTGTGCACTTCATAGACACACTCGTTCCTTTTTCTTCCCATGCTCAATCCTTTGAATTAAGCCAAATTAAATTAATTAATAAATAAATCCACTGAAAATTGATTTTCTAGTATTACATTTCTGCCATTTACTTTAAATACAAAGAACATGATACTACATAACATTAAAAAAAAAAAAAAAAAAAAAAAAACGCTAACACTTTCCTTTAGATTTTTATTTAATAATATTTTTGCTACATTTCCATTTGTGACATGTCATAAATAAAGAGAATAAACACCTGCACATCAATACAACTGAAAAAAGCTTAATTTTCTTAGAGCTTTTTTGAGAGTATAGGAGTCAATAAGCCACAGAGAAATCAATGCTTGTCACTTTGCAAATGTGTGTATAAGGATTTATGTGTTCTTCCAGAGTATTCATTAAACTTATATTGTACACCTGCAGCCATTAAAAGCTTCCCCTGGTTCTTTGAGGTTTGCATGGGCTGTGTTTCAGTACACTAGAATGCTAATCCATCTTGGTTCCGGAGAGAATGATGATGGACATAAATAAAACCAGCAGTCTCCTGCTTTGCAAGCTTCTGACTAATGCACATTTCCCTGAATAGGGAATCAAAGGAAACAAACCAGGAATGTGCTCGGTCGCCACGGTGACAGGCTGTCAAGACAACGGCTCCTTCTGTGACTTTGCCTCTCTCTGATGCGGCACACAGAGCTGCTCTTACAAGAACAGATGCAGCCAAAAGACTTTTAACTTCCTATGACCTGCTTTCGGCATACTGTTTCTATAATTTATAAAAAATAATTCAGTATTCCAATGTGGAACAAACATGAAAAAAAAAAGTAATTAATTCAAAAGTGCAGTACAATGACTTAAAATATCATCTGTGTTCCACCAAAAAAAAAAAAAAAAAAAAAAAGTCCTTTTCCCAAAAGCATCGCAAGCCAACCATGGTTACAAGTTCCATAATTTCCTGAAATTATTGTACGAACAAACATTAACAAACTGCAATGAAAACTTATGTTAGCTTAACTACAGCTCTCGAGCTGTGCAAACATAGTTTCTTATTAAAATGTGGACTTAAAAAAAAAAAAGATCATGTTCTTGGGCACAATGACCAAGCTTATGTTCAAGATATATACACTGACCTAAAGGATTATTAGGAACACCTGTTTCTCATTAATAAAATTATCTAATCACCCAATCACATGGCAATTGCTTAAATGTGTCAAAGCCAAACACAGATGCGCTCAGCACTATATCACAACTGTTCAGTGTTTTTAACCACATAATGTTTATTTTAGATTTCAGATATTTAAATACATATAATTTATAGCAAAACAATACATTTATAGTTTCTAAAATACACAATAGTGTCTATGGAAGCAGTAATAACAACAACATAGTCTCATCCCAAGACGTCATATAACTGACAGAAATCTCTGAACTGCGGCCCAAACACAGCGTCCATCTCACGTTACAGATCAAGATCAATTTATAAAGTTATAATACAACTATATAACATCGTGATGTCTCTCGTCCATCAGTCCAACCCTACACTTTAGGCCCTTGGTGCTAATTAGGCATTGTTTAAATTCCACCGCCTACCTGAGCATTGTTTCTGACCATATCCATCCCTTTATGGCCACCATGTACCCATCCTCTGATGGCTACTTCCAGCAAGATAATGCACCAAAGCTCGAATCATTTCTAATTGGTTCATTTAACATGACAATGAGTTCACTGTACTAAAATGGCCTCCACAGTCACCAGATCTCAATCCAATAGAGCATCTTTGGGATGTGGTGGAATGGGAGCTTCGTGCCCTGGATTTGCATCCCAAAAATCCCCATCAGCTGCAAGATGATATCCTATCAATAGTGGCCAACATTTCTAAAGAATGCTTTCAGCACCTTGTTGAATTAATGCCATGTAGAATTAAGGCAGATCTGAAGGCGAAATGGGGTCAGTAATAATCCTTTAGGTGAGTGTAAATGTATGTTGTATGAGGGAACCCGCCATGAATCAACCATCAAATAAAGCAAAACAACAGGGAACCAAAACTGTGAAGTAGTCCTCTGTTTGTTACAGCAGCATGTCAGAAAACCAATGCTGTGGAGAAAGCTGCTGACCAAATTAAATGCATGTAAACGAGAGTAAAATGTATGCCAAGTTAAAAACTAACAGCATTCTGTTGTTTATGTAAATTACCTAACAATGTTAAACACAATAATTGCAATCTCGAAACTATTAGCAGAAGTGATTACTCCACCACCTGCAAGTGAAGTCATTAATAACAGTCCTATTGTTGAACTAACACATTTCAAACAACAGAGGTGCGACTAGCTATTAAGTTTCTACAGTGATGCATTGTACTAAGCAATGTGTAACATCATTGCATGGGACACACACCCCAGGTCTGGAACAATATGAGGGTGAGTAAATAATTGCAAACAATTCATTTTTGTGTGATTCATTTTCATCCCATTAAATCAGTTGTTAAAATACTGAAAAATTAATATAATTGATTGTTTTTTTAGCATGTGTGTGTGTCATCAAACTCTGGATGTTCATGAGTCAACTGAGAGAATGAATGTTATAACAATCGATATAACCTCAAATAAGACCCCCAAGAGCAAATTGCCGGACATGAGTAGGAGTGAAAAAGGAGGCTAAATTATTAATATCCTCAGAACTAATCTCTTTAAACGAATATATTACTTCTTTCCAAAGAAACATTTCTCCCATGGTTTATGAGTCAGTGCATGTATGTTCCAAACCACAGTGTGAGATGCCATAATACTGAAATGAATGTTTTTGTCTGTTGTACGAGTTAAACGCCACACAGGAAAACTTTAGCGCCCAACCTCACATACTGTAACTGAAGTGTAATATCTTCTCCCTTTCTCTTCCTCCCACACACTCACACACCTCAAATCCCATCTATAATGTCCCTGTCTTTAATCTTTTGTGGAAACACACAAAGAAACACTGTTTCAATTGGTGGCGGCGCCATCTCTGAGCATTGTGGGATGGCAAAATACCTGATAGAATTTGATAGAGACCCAATAACCTTTGGATGTGAAGGCCAGGTCAGAGATGGATTACCAGCAGAGTTGTTCTCTTCATCCACATCCTTTCCCAAACACATACAGAGAGTGTTCTAGCTTTAAAAGCACTTTTGTCTGTCTTTACTAAATTATTTCTTTTCTTTCTCAGCACAATTTTGTCAACAAACGTGCCCCGACTGAGCAGTACAGTGCTGAAATGTTTGTGATGGTGGTACTGTGTTCTGATTGGCCGTGACAATGACACCAACTGATGTGTGTTATTACGTTCGGTCACTTTGAAGGCCAATCAATCACATAGGAGTCTACTGTAGGTATAAATCCGTATGGACCCTGACTAAAGTTGGTATATGGAAACTGTTCTCAATGGAGGTTTTCTTTTCATTTTGTGCATGAACAGACACCCCCACACACACACACGATTAGGTCAGACTTGTGGCTTATCAGAGATTGGATTCTAGCAACCAACAAAAGAGGCTTAAAGCTCTCTCAACGTGAAATAGATCTAATGCCCCATAAAAGACAGCATATTCAGTTCCATTTATATTGCACTGTTTTTTTTTTTTTTCATCTAAATCTTCTGGCTACTTATTTTCCTCCTCCCTTAGCAGACAACTTTACAAAAGAATGGCTTTTAAATGAAGCAGAGGAAGATTTAGCTAAGTCCCAACATCACAGACTATCAAGAGAGACTGCTGACCTTTACCTTTCACTCCCTCTCTCTACTCATTACTCGTGTTAGACATGTGCACCCTTCTGTGTACCGCTCTCCTCCTATTATAATCTCGTTCTTACACTGTCATTCCGTGCCTTTGTATATTATATTATATATATATATATATATATATATATATGACCTCAAGATTAAGCATGAAAATAAAGCGATAGGTCACCCAAAAATCAGCTTGCAATTCCATTTTGATGTAGTTTGTTTAAAAAAAAACATTTTCATTGAGTAGGCCTAATCTTCAAACCTCATACTGTATGTGCGTGTCAGTGTCGCAAGTGTGGTGATGTTGTTATGCAATTAGAGAAGGCAAATTGATTGTAGGTCCTAATAATAATTTAATAATAAGATATAATCGTTTAAGACATTTTGTTCAACTGCACTGACAAGTATTTAGTATTTAGTGATTTATGCCCAAGTTTTGTTACTTTTTTTTTTACTTTCATAGTGTCATAGTTCATTATTTCCTTTATTCTTATCTACATATTCCAGTCTTTTCCACTCTTGCTCTCACTATCTTCATTGTTCTTTGTGTACATTTTCCAATTATTTGCAAGTTAGCAACCTCATCAAATCTGTTTTGCTCAAAAAAAGGTAAAATGATTATAAATGTACACACACACACACACACAAACCCCCCCAAAAAACGTTGCTTTGCAGTCTATTTGGGGAAGATTGGACAGTGAGAGAAAGCATATGGCAATTTTTGAGCTCAGACTCAGGCCATATGCTGATAGGTTAAAAGGTATGACTGCAGAGAGCATGCATCCCAGTCAGCACAGTGAACCACACTGATCCATAACCCTCATTGAGAGGGTGTAATCTCGCCAACATTACCTCACTGTCTTTTGCCCATTGAAGGACGTCCTAGCAGGGAAGAGGGTCAGATTTCAGTGGCACGGCACTCTAGACATGTTCTCCCAGGGGAAATCGAGCCTGGGTCAATGGGGTACGGTCAGCCCTTCTCTGGACGCCAGTCAGCCACTATAGGAAAAGAGACCAGGAAATATTAGACAACTAGTGACTAGATGTTGAGGAAGTTTAACCATGAGGGCTGATTAAGTAACTCAGGGGGACAGAGGGGGGTAATTCAAGAGACAAATCAGATTGGCATAGGTTTATCAACATATTTAGACTTTTTTTGAGAAATGTTTTTAAGGCAGATATAAATACTGAAATAAAATATATTATTAAACAAACAATTCTCTGCCCAGATCCCAGCCTCAAGTTTCTACAACAAATCCATTTTGTTAGATACTCAGAGTGATTGATGCTCACTATATGTGTTTTGTTCTTTTTTAGATAAGATCTTGTCTTCTTATTTGTACCTTATCTCTTTCTCGCTCTTTGTCAATCTATTCACCGTGATGTAAAAAAATGTCCTCTCGGTCTCTTGGGAGAAATGATACAAAATCATTCAGCCAGATGCCTTTTTTTCCATGTGATCATTGTGTTGTAATGTGAGATAATAGGATGAATTATTCTTGTTCATACGAAGACTCAACACCTGTCAGGTCATCTATGAAACTATTTATAAAAAATGTCAGTCAGGCCATATTTCTGAGGGGAAAGCAGCAGAAAACAGGAGGGGAAAAAAAGCACAAAGGTCAAACGTCAGGAGGGACTCCAGAGAAAGTGTTTTCCAGATGCGATTGATGATCAGTGTAGAGCCAGAGCATGACACAAACACATACACACGCACACACAACCAGGGTTATAACAGTTTTGAAAAAAAAAAATATATACAGTATATATATATATATATATATATATATATATACACAAATGACAAAAAAACACACAAATACAAACTTTATCTAAAAACAAAATTGAAAACAATTCAAAGTAATTCAAACTATTAATAAAAGCTACAACATAACAGTATCTAAATACTATTACGTAAAGACAGACAGACTCATAAAATTGACAGCTTACAATATATTAAGAAAGGGAAGAAAGAGAGATGAGTGGAAAAAAAGTGATTGAATCAAACCGAACCCATGCAACATGAACCCATTTAATCCATCTGCTAGACATGATTTAACGGACTGTATCTTTGACCCCACTTAGAATAACCATTTAAAGGGTCACTTCACCCATTTGCATTAATCTTTGTATCTTTAGAAACCCAGTCATATTTTTGAATGGTCATGGTTTATTCCCTTATTTTATATCCAAGCTGTTCTTTTTTTTTTTTTCTTGATCCAGGAGACTCACATTTATACAACAGTCATTTTTGAATGTGCATCACGGTTTGACATCTCTTCTATTATACATGGTTATTAAACCATAACATCAACAACACATGCCACTATAAATGACAACCGGCCTGCAAGGCAACAAATTTTATATTGATTTCCATTCAAAATTCACAGACTCTTAAGTTGACGAGTGATATTCCAAGAGCTAGAGCGTGTTACTCTCGTTGCTGACATATACCTTTTAAAATTACACTGTGAAAAAAAAAAAAAAAAAAAAAAACACCTGCATGAACTTCCAACAAGAGAGACAGCAGTGAAACATTCCCTGTTAGATAGATGTGATTGGATTGGCTTATAGACAGCAGAATTTGGAACAGTATTCAATCTGAATCCATGTTTGTTAAATGGCTGATTAATGGTGAGACAGACAGGGAAAGGGTGAGTGTCATTTTCCATTACGTTTAAGCAGTGTTTGATTGGTTATACCCTTATGAGGAATAGATGATTTTTGAAATACTTTTTTTTTTAAATACTATGATTTTTGGAGATGTTATGATTATATATGCAGGGACAGAGAACATGCAGCCACATCAACAAGTTAGACTGAATCAAATGAGTTCAAGTTGGAAGTGGAATTGACCCAACTTTAGAATAGAAAGATAGAACCAATGATTACTGAATTGAAGAATCCAGTCCATCCATAAAAAATAAATAAATAAATAAAAATAAAAATAAGCACAACGTTAGGCAAAATGTGGAAGAATAAATTAAAAGTAATAGAAGAAATGGGTTATGGGTTATTTGGGTTACAATTTTTCCGATTCAAAGCGGTAAGCTTATAATAATGTTTTTAATTCCAGTAGTGGTGGACTTCCATAGTAAATTTGAGCATGTCTTTGTGTAATTACGTCACATCTGTACACATAAAGAAGGTGTCTAGGATAGTCGGCTATATTGCATGTGAGGATGTTGTAGGTGGAGATTTATAGCCTTTTCTCACTGCACTTGATATAATTAAACTTATCAATTTGATGGCGGATCCAGAAAGGTTCAAACGACAATCACCAGTGACAACAGATTCACCCTCTGTAAAATGCAAAAGACTTCGTTCGGATTTCGGAGTGGCTACAAAAAGAAAAAAAAAAAAAAGAGACTGCAACCAGCCCATGTGAAAACAAGGATACATATTGGAAGGACAGTACATGAAGTCATGCAATGCTGACTGTCACGGTGTGTCGGTGGAATATAGGCAGAAGAAGACGAAGGAGGCTAGATTAAGACGAATATAACATTTACTTACCAAAAAACAACAGGCAAGGGTACAGATGAACGGGAGTAATCACAGCGTAACATCAACACAACGACCGACAATGACAGACTGAATGAGGAGGAACTAAATACACAGAGGAATCAACCAAAACGAGGTGCAAACAGGTGAAAATGATGAAACAAGACGAGGAACAGGTGGCTGATGAGGGAGTGAGAGACCTACTGGGATCCTGGGAGGTGTAGTGCAGATGACGAAGACAAACTGTTGCAGACGAAGGACTGTGACAATGACGTTGTTAACATTGAAAACAAAGTATAATTTGCCTGGTTTTGTGTGATATGATAAGTGATTTTTAGATTTAATCAGCACGATTTACTGCAATATTAGAACCAGAACAAAAGTGAATGTTTCTTAGTAGTTCAGAGGACATTTTCCGGTGAAAATTCGTATGTTAGTCGTACTTCCAAAAATAATAATCTGTGATTCTGAATGCCAGTCTCCACAGAGGCGCTGTGACTGACAGCCTCACACTCTCCTCAAACATTGTGTTCATCCACGCTGTGCCGTGTTGAAGTACAACTCACGTAAAATTGATAATTCTGCGAATAACTGCAATTGCATATTTCGAACAGAGATGGCGACAAAGAGGAAAAACTGTGATCTGCAGCTTTAAATAAACTGTTAAAGTTTAATCCATTATTTTGACCACAATTACCACTATGTTTGATAAGAAATCTCAATCCAAACACAATCCAGAACAATTAAAACACAGAATACAACATTTTGTAGGGCACAATTATTGTTTAAAAAATAAAGAAAAAAATAAAATTAGTTTAATAAGTTGTTATTACTAACATTCAAATAAACCAATAAAATTCAATGGAAAAAAACACATAATTTATTATTATTATTATTATTGTAAATAATATAATAATTTATTGAATACATACTTTGTTTGTTTATTTATTTAAATGCTATAGAACTTGGCAAATATTTAGTTACATTCAAAATTCAGCTAACTCAAATCTGAGGGGCTATACATTTTTAAAAGAGCATGACGCTTCTTTACAGGCGGAATCTGTGAGCAAAAATACTGAAGCAAAGAGAGTCTTATATTAAATGTAATCGGGTAATCACAATGTTGACGGTGATGTTGTGGGTGGCCTGTCTCTCTATCCCACCTCAGATGGAAGCGGTGGTCTGAAAGCATTCCTGTCCATCAGCACAATCTAACACGATTGACTCAACTCTGTTCCCACTGCCTTCCTGCTCATGTTGAGACAGCACTAACTCTCTCACACCCACACAAAACAAACACACACACACACACACACACACACATATGCAGACCGTCGCAAATCAGCTTCTTTTACCCCATGCTCTTCCTTTCTCCCTCTTTGACAGACACACACATAATCACTTCTCCTAATAGTATGTCCCACAGGCCCTGAGCTACCGTTTGGTGTACGACTCGATTGCTCCCCGAGTGATTTCACAGCGTGCCGGGCTCTGGTGCTATGAGCTCAGACAGGAAATGCTGCTGGTTGCTTATTTTGGCCCTTGCCGTGGAAGGCAGGTGCAGACTAATAGGAGCTAATGGACTGGCTATTGTGCCACTTCCTGTCAGAGAATTCCCCCAGGAGAGGCAGGTCCGGGGAACTTATCTGCAGGGGTTTGGGTCTCTGATAAAGGAAGTGAGCTCAAGGCCACTGAGGCACTGCAGATAACACGCTTCCAGGCCAAATTCAAACACAAGGGAAAATGCATGCAGACAAAAACACTGTTCACACTTATTAAACTAGGCAACAGTTTGACAGTTAATATACAGCAGTCACACACGCAGACACATTGAATGAACAAATTAACAAACACCAACCGCCAGCTCATGGAAAAAAAAAAAACTAAAACAATGAAAATGACGTTTTTTTTCCATGTGACAAACTGAAACAACCTAATTTGCTATAAATAGTGATGTCCTATTTTTAGGAATCTGAAATGTGTGACATCACAGTAAAGGATTATACTTCTGGGTGGGTGGTTTAGCAAAAGTCCCATTTGAGATCATTGTAGCCTAAAAAGCAATTACAACACCAGCCGCAGTGTAGAAAATCCAAACACCAGAGGGAGCCCATTTTTTCTTCCTACAAGGCCAAGTGTTTCTAATACAAATAGCCAACTGTAATGCAGTGGGTGCATTTGTGGATTTAAAAAAGAAAAAAAAAAGAAAGAAAAGAGGGAATTGAAACAATGCACATTCAAACATAATAAAAAGCACATTTTCACTGAGAATCAAACTCAATTCTTCCTCTTTGCTGATGTGATTAGGAGTTAACAGCGCGAGGATGGACCAGTCGGGCCTTTAAAATGCTCTTCAGGGTTCTATTATGTCGACCGGGAGCGGACACTGACTTCATCAAGGACTGGAAGAGTGAAGTGGCAGGAGGCACATCAGCTAGACAATAGATAAACCCGCTCCATTTCAGCTGAAATAATCCTCTCTTTGCACACAGCTT